CAGGAGCAGGAGGAGCAGGAGGAGCAGGAGGAGGAGCAGGAGCAGGAGCAGGAACAGGAGCAGTCAGGGAATAAATCAATGTCCGCGTCGACATTTTCTCGCGATTTCAAGGACAGGGTGAAAAGCGCTCAACTACGCTGGGTGAGGTAGATTTAGTGCAGAGCATGGAGGCGCATAAAAAACTGACAAGTCAGTTTTCACGCACTTTCCAGTGGACGAGATAATTTGCGAAAAAAATAACTTATCGGAAAAATCTTGGTCGCTGGTTTATCAGCAATTATAATCAGTGATGCAGATCCTACTAGGATGATAAGAACCACAAAGTTAGCGTAGAGGGTCTTAACAAAGACAAGGGAGTCCGAGGTGTCCATTTGTGGTTTATTTGCCGTCGTCAGTCAGCCTTTACGAACACTAGGTTTGGGGGCACCTTAGATTCAGATCCAGTTCTTTCAGTTACTGACCGAATAAATACCGTACCTACACCGACAGTGACAGGTGGAGAGGCATTGGTGGACTATATACTAATGTTATACTAATATAAACTATAATATATATACCAATACTAATATATATTTATATAAATCATTAAGGGTTTTACGGTGAAGCACTGCCTTCCTCTCAGGTATTAAATTTGATTAAAGCATTTTCCTATAAAATGGGTGTAGTAATTAAACCCACGGTATATAAAAAGCGAATTTATACAACTAATTTCCGCAGATGGGTGGAAAGATGGTCAAGTACAGGTCATGCGTTCCGTAGTTTGAGAAGTGTGAGGACCTTGGAAGCTTCAACCGCACTAAACATGAAGCAAACGTTACGGCAAGGCGGGCAAAAAACACGGGATTTACGATGGGCGAAGTTATGGAGGTCCATAAATTTGTCTGACAAACTGCAGTCAATAACTCATAATAACTTCGAGTTAAAGAATTCGAAAATCTAGGTTAAAGTACCCAGTTTCCGCTCCAGGCCGACTCTAGCATACGCTTTGTCAGGGCGGGTACGCTCAAACCATCCGCATAGCGCTAGACCTAACCGTCAAACGGCATGAACATAAAGCAAAATTGTCTCCGCAGTCGAGAGGTTTGGAAGACGGAGTCTGCCGACTAGCCGAACTGTGGGGAGCAAGAC